ACAGGAAAACCTCCAAGTGCGAGCGAGGTGTGAGCCCAATGTCATCAAAGGTTGTGTGAAAATCAGACACCAAATCCGAACCAAAGCACAAGAAGGTCTTCTTGCGTGTCTATTTCTTTTATCAATTATAGGGCAAATGATTTCTTCCCCAGGCAAGAAGAGTTAACGAAAAAGACCAGAAATGCATCGATTGGATATGAAAATAATCCTGGTTCATGCTGAATGTTTTAAAGTAATCTAATACAATGGCTAAGTCTGTCTCCCAGAGAGTTCCAAAAGATTGGGAACATGAGTTGCTGTGGGGAGGCAGCAGCCAGGGGATTCACTTAAGTAACACTAAGCCTTTTTCAAGCACTCCTCTCCCTGTTTCTCCTTGGAGCCTGAGAAACTCTGACAGGACCCATTACTGTGCTGGCTGTCAGCTGCATGGCGCCAATCAAAAGGAGGACAGACTCCAAGATCACTGTGCGAGTCAGAGAACTGGCCAGGGTTCATAAAGCTGGATGAGTCAGCCAGGGTTATGGCATGTGCACAGTTTCTAAGAGGCCTTTGTGTCTCCCCCTCACATCTACTGACTGGACTTCAACAGTCCCCTTCAGCGCTCCCGGCAGGCAAAAAGGACAGAGGACAGTGCCACAGTGCCTGTCACTATGACTACTTTACAGTTCGCTGCAAAGAGGGTCCTGAAGAGACTTCTTTACTTCCAGTGCTCCTGATCTGATAAATCTGAGCGAGAAGATTTTTTTTAGTCATTGAGGTCATTTTATCTCCTTAGTGAACATGGTGCACCTTCTTTCGCCACATGGTAATTGCAACTAAATAATGAACTTTCCCCCTGTTGCCTGGGTAGTTGGGGAACTCCAAAGAATCTCAGGCCAGTACGTTCCATCACAGCACTGAATTCAGTCCTGGGCCTTGCTTCTGTAGGTTGCCTTAAGTGAGATGATTCTAATTAAGAGCTGGATGATTTTCATTAGGTGTGTACTTGATTCTATGTCATATTTCTGCTCTATTAACTCTAGAAACTTCACTTGCATTTCCACAAGGTGAGGGTCGCTATGGCTGCACCAGGGCTTGAGGTTATTGCTTCTCCCTTCTCATTCCAAGAAGGAAGGAATGTTTTCTGTTTTAACACTTGCTGAATGCTGGAACTTGTCTGACACAGAAGACACTCCATAAATACTTGCTGATAAAAAGAATGCATCAAGAGTTTTGGAAATTTGAATTCCATTTCTAAAAGGAGTCATCAATAAACCAGTGGTTTGTAAGTTGAAAGGAGAGAGGCATTGGGCTTGGCATTGTGATGTAGAGGGTAAAAGCCTCCACCTGGGGAGCCATTGTTCCATTGGAGTGCTGGCCCACATCCAGGTTGCTCCATTTCTGGTCCAGCTTCCTGCTAACAGCATGAGAAATGCTGCAGAAGATGGCATAGCTGATTTGGTTCCTGTCACTCTAGTGGGAGACCTGGATGAAGGCCCTGGTTCTTGGCTTCCACTTGGCTCAGTTCTGGCCACTGGGGAGTAGACAAGTAGATGCAAGATCTCTCCTTCTGTTTCTCCCTCTTTTTCTTTATCTCTCACTTTCAAATAGACTTTTTTTTTAAAGGAACTATAATATGTCCTTTTTACTTATAACCTTTTAATAATGCCGTACTTCAGTGTCATACTTAAAGGTTCTCAATACTAGTTTGTTAAATAAATAGATGGGTGGCTAAGTGAATGATAGAACCCAAGAATGGACATGTGGACAAATGAGTGGACAAATGACTGACCAGACAGACAGACTGATGAAAGGCAAGAAGGTGGACAGAGAAAGAGTCAGAAAATGATTGGCACTGTGACACAGTGAGTTAATCAATTACATAGTGGCATCTTATATGAGAGCTCTGGTTTGAATTCTGGCTGCTCCACTTCTAATCCAGCCCCCTGCTAATGTGCCTGGGAAAGGAGCCGATGAAGGCTCACTTATATGAGCCCCTGCCACCCAGGTGGGACACCTGGATGGAGTTTTTGGTACCTGGCTTTGTCCTGCTCCAGGCCTGACCATCGAGGTCACTTGGGGCGTGAACCAGCATGCAGTCGAACTTTCTTCCTAAAACTTTCCCCTATCCAATCCACCATCATTTTGCATTTCAAAGAAACAAGTGTTTTCACAATGAATAGATGAACTAAGGGATACTGATGTTTAAATCTAGGGTTTCGTGTGAGGTTCTGAGTTTTAAATCGTCACTCATTAGGTCTTTGGAGTAACTTAAATTGAAAGTCTTAGTTAAATAAGTTTTCAGTTTGGCTAATTAAATTTGGCCACAGAATCAAGTTTCCAGAGAGGTATAAAAGATGACATCAAATAGGCCTCATTTTTGTCTCTGCCATTTGGCAGGAAAATTCCCAATGGGTTGGAAAGCCGGGTATCAAATTAATAAAATTTCATTAAAACACTGCCATGGTCCCCAATGTGTATACAAACCACAAATTCAACATTTAAACTCAATCTAGTAGGCAAAATTGCTTCTTAAGAGTAAACTTTTGGGATTACCCTGGAGGGGAAACAAGATCAGAAAGGTAAGTCCTTCTCTTCCAATAAAAATCCAACTACTGAATCAGTGCAAACACTTAAAGCACAAAGCAAGAAAGGAGTAAGTATAAGAGGAAGCTGACAGTCATAGGACCGAGGTAACCATCTCCGAAGTTTGTAAGATGCAAACAGTACGATCCTGGGTTTAGACACTACATACTCAGAGCTATGAGAACTAACCCAGGCACGACTGTGGACTTCCCACTATGACTGATCCTGTTTGTGGTCAATCCAATGGCTTCCTGGTTCTAGGATATTTAGCTTCCTCATGGATTCCCAACCACCCCTTTACCCACACTCCCAAACCCCCACCTCGATCCAAACCAGAAAATATCATCATTTGGCTCTCGGGCAGGACCCAATCACACTGCAAACTGAGAAAGCTTTCCTTCCATCTGTATAGAGCCCCCACTGGTCACAGATGTTAGCAACGCACCACTGCCAACAGCAGACCTTGGTGGATGCCCCCAATGTTTTGCACAGCCACAGCCAGAGCTTGCCAGCAATGGCGTGAAAACCATCTTCCCTGTCCTGGCGCAGGATTCAGGGAAGAACAAGTCTTAAGCTGGGGGCTTGTTCCATGCTAGCCCAGCAATACACCACTCTCTCTTAGCTTGTGGTAATTAAGAGCTAGCAGACTGTGGGCAAAGCAGTTAAGAGAGGTTTTTTTTTCCCCCTCTAGGAATGCAGCCCAAGTAATTGCCTTTCTGCTTACTAACGGTAAGGTTTCTACAAAAAATAAATTGTCATCGGGAATTCTCTTCACCGACTTGGTGAAAGCAGATTGTCTGTTTGGTACACCTTTTGAATTCATCAGGTAATTTCCAAATCCCTTCAGGTAAAAAAAAAGATGCAAATGGATTACAAAAATCCTTTTTGCACAGCAAGTGCAAAATGGGATGCAAAACACAGGAAAGAACACCTGGCTATCTGATGTCATCCTACCTAGTACAAAACTGCTATGCCCCACCTCAGGCTCCTTGTCAAGGCTCCATTCATCAGCCAGTAGCGCTGGGGGTGGAGAAGGAAAAAAGGGTGGCTCGTGCTAACTGAAGCTCGTGTGCCACATCTTGCACATCTGCTTCTGTTTGTCTAAAGGCTGAATGGGTTTCTGACTACTACCCAGGGCCAGGGAGAAATGCACACGAGCCCAGGCAATCACTCTGGCATCTCTGTGGCACCAATACAGGCGCCAACCAACACTTTTCTGCCTGGACGTTAACATAAACTGACAAGGGGTGCTGCTCTGAAATCTATGTTTCCAATCAGCATAGCGCTATGCTATCAGAATCACATCAATTACTGCAGGTTTTTCTTTTCGGAGAACTCAGGCATGGGGCTTCAGAATGCATGAAGCTCCCTCTCTCATCTCCTTAATAAACTTCTGCCTCGCGCTGCCAGGCTTGGAGACAGGTGGAAAGGAAATTCAGCTGCAGCACCGTAAGCCGCAAAGTTTTAAAGCTTCCCGTTTCCTGGATGCTAGAAAGCCGTAAATTTCTCCTCCCTCCAATCTTCTAAGACATATGAAAACACCCCGCCCCTGTTAATTTAATGAATTAGGAAAACCCTTCCACCCAGCTCAATTTCACAGGCATCGGAGTTCCAGATTTTGAGTTTTTCAGCAGCATTTTAATTTGTTCTTAGTGCCCCAAGAGCAAAAAGCCCATACCACCAAGTCAAAGCACTATCACCTCTAAGCTATTAGCCAACATGTCAACTAGGTAATGCATCTTCAGGGAAACCAGATTAGAAAGGACAGCAAAACATTGATTTCTTTCTTTTTTTAAATGAATCCTATACCTGCAGTATAATGCTGCTAAACCTGGCAAAACAACAAAGGACATTTGCACAGCAAGGAAATGTCTTACTCTCAGTGCTGGGGCAGGCAATGTGGTTGCATGTGAGCATGGACACATATGCAGGGCAGAGCATTTCATCCTTAAACCAATCGGCTTTGTATTTTGAAAAGAATTCACCACCCAGGGTACAAGGCAGCTCGGGGAGACTCGGGAGCCATGAGGACCGCTGGGAACACTAGTTGACAGCAATGCTACTCCAAACAGGTGCAGCTTCCCATCCCTCCAGAGCAGACAATAGCATTTGCATCAAGTTAAAAACAGCGAAGAAACTCATCCTTTGAAGGAGAGTCCAGATACATTAGTACAGCGATGATTTCAAACATACATTCTTTATCCTGGCTCCGGCAGCCTGCCCACAAATCATCACACAGTTAAAGACAAACCCAGATACCTTCCATACCAAGCAGAACCTCAGAACTTAATAAAAAGAGAGCCGTTTCTTATTTCCCCTCCCCAGACCACTCTAAAACCTATTATGTGTAGTGAAGCCGGACCGCATACCCTCCCACCACCAGCCTCCACACCCCCCACCTCCAAACAAACATCAAGTAACTGACAAGTCCTTACCGACTTTGGGCTCTTCTTGGGAACAGGCAGCCCTGGGGGTGAAAAAAGGCAACAGGGGAAAGAGGGGAAAAAGAAATCATTAGCATAGCAATGGTACCTTTTCCTTAAAGAACCATCCCCAGGTGTTTCATGGCCACCTAGCCATCTGCAGAGTTATGTCAGATTTCTCCCCAGCATCGGAGTTACCAGGCTGTTCATATCGAATCAAAGCAGAGGGAGGAGGAGAGCGAGAGAGGCAGATCTATCTGCATTAGCTATGCTGACTTGTACTGCAGCAGCCTGGAGGCTGGGGAAAGAAAATTCACAGACCTCAGCGGCCTGGGAAATTGAACACTTGGACAGAATCTCAAATGCTCTTCTGGATTAAGAGAGACTTAACTTACAATTAAGTCCGGGATATTTCCTTTCCACAGGATCCACTTGTCAAATGAAGTGGACCAATCAGGAAGGAGGAAAGGGTATATATTTAGTTTCAAAAGAGTACATGGTTAAAATTAAATTGGGGTTTTTTTCCCCTTTTTTGTCTTTTCTTTCCTTTTTTGCTTCTGCCTTTCAGAAGAGGAAATGCCTTCTCTATTTGGATGAGCTCAACACCAAAACAAAGACAATGCTCTTTCGCCAGCACAGGATAAAATAGGAACCGAAGCCCGCGTGGGTCTAAGATTCCCTTCCAGTTTAGCAGCACATGTCTAGGTGCCTGTCAATCATGCCCACAACCTCCTATTCAGCTGGTTGCAAAGTACTGAAGCCAGGACTAGACCCTTTAGGGGAAATAAACCATGTCATTTTAGAGTACAAGGAAAAATTTAAGAGAGGTGAGAAAAAAAAATAATAAAGGAGAAAGAGACAGACATGGCGGGGGGAGAGAGGGTTTGACTCCAAATGCTTGTGCTCAAGCCTTGACCTCAGTGGGAGAGGCTCACTTCTGGAAAAGTCAGTGCAATTTAGGGCAGATTATGGGGGATCTGTCATCAAGGGAGAATGGGGAAGGGCAGCATAAAAAAGGAAAATAAAACATATTAGTATTGTGAAAACCATCACTTGTGCAAGCTGCCGCCCCTCTTTATGATTCTGTTTGAGCAGCAGTTACTACACTCCATGTAGATTCCACCCATACAAAGCTCCACTGAGGGTTTTGCACAGGAGATTTCAACCTGCTTTTGAAAAGGGATTCCCACATAGCATGATGATTTCAAGTCTGTTGGAAATGACTTGTCAAACAGCGAGGCCTGCCAAATCCAGCGCAAGTAATAGGAGGTGAGAGCAGTGGGCAAGGATGGCAGAAGCCACTCACAGGGGCACTGTTAATGTGACTACTCCAAGTGAGGCGTGACAAGAATCACTTGGCCTAAGAGTCAGCACATCACCAAAAAAATGAGGTCACCACAATCTGGCACAGTGGCTCTTAAGCAACACAGGGAGGGTTGTTAAAAAATGCAGAACCTTAGGCCACATCCCCAGGGACCCCAGACATCATCTGCAGTCCCAAGAAGTCTTCCTGAGGGCTCTGCACACAAGAGGTGTCATTTAAGGAAATCAGGAGGCAGGAGAAAGAGTGTGGTTCTTTCAGGTCAGGCCAACTCGGGCACTCTCAGCAGGTGCCTTTAGCACCCTCTGTGCCACAACACCCCACTGCTGAAATAAAGACAACAGGGCTCACCTCACCAGACTGTGAGGCAATGAAATAACAGAAAATGTTTCTGAACCTCCTACTTGCCATGGAGTGATCTCCCTCAGTGTTGAGCCCTTTCTCCTTGGCTAATTCATGGAATTGGGAAATCAAGTAGATGTGGTCACCTGGCTCTGAGGGAAAAGCAGTCTCTGCTAGGCACATTAAAATATAAAAAAGATGGGAGGAGAGTGACTTCATCTATCAATAAGGAGGAAAATTTTGATGTGTGTCTGCTCACACACAATCCTCAGGTGCTTTCATTGGTTCAATAAAATGATGTACATCAAGTCACATTACTGTATACCACTGTATTCAAAATTTTGTACTACAGCTTTAAATTCAGATTGTCACCTAATCAGACAGTCTTAGCTCATTGGAATAAGCAAAGCTACACTCTAGTTAGAGTTTACTGAACTTGACTGTGCTCTCTGCAAAATAGGTGCAGTGAAGAGAAATGGTTTCAGTCTGCACCTATCATGTTTTACACTATCCTGGGCAGTTTTAATCAGGCACCTCGACCCTTCATATATACACTAAAGGGCACTTTCCACTCTCCATTATAGAGGAACACCTGCAGATATGTTTAGAGGTATATTCACAAGGACCCGTAGTATAGCACTGCTGCATAAAGAAAAACTGTGAAAGATTGGAATCTGAGAATGACTCGGGTAGGTCAACCCCGAAAGCTGTCCACAGAGGTTAAAAGGAATGTTGCATCTCTGAGACCACAATAAAGATAGTCGCAAAAACACATGGTTGAGTGACAATGACACGCTGGAGAGGGGCAGGTACAGCACAAGACACAGCCGAGCACATGCACGGCTTCTTGCTTTCCATCTACGTCCACACCAAACTCATACTAGGGACCATTCCCCGGAGGCAAGGCAGGCCAGGAGTCACAGCTCAAGGGGATGTTAGTCTTATTCAGAATTCCTTCTCAATACCATATTCACAATCTCACTGAGGCAATGAAGTATTTATTTAAAAATAAAACTAACTTCTACTGCTAAAGCTAGAAAAGCAGCAAAAAGGGGGAGTGGCCATGCACTTGTGTCTGTTAAGACCAATTCCCTATCCAAAATGGTCCATGGAAAGGTCCCAGTGACACTGACATGCCTTTTCTAACAGATCAGAATGATTTTTTTAAATTATTGAAACGTGTGTCTCTCTTTGTTATCCCATCGCCGGCAGACTGCATTTTCAAAAAGCCACACCTTTTACAGGAGCCAAAAGTGGGTTATGACCACTGAGTTAATATTTAAATAGTCAAAATCAAAATGCTCCACTTGGCTGCATTTGAAAAAAAAAAAGGAAAGAAATCAAGGATTTGTTTTAGGTCCATACGGTCATTAAATCTTAAAATCTAATAAATATGAATGCTGGAGCAAACTTCCTTTGGACATTTCATAATTTATTTCAGCCAAAATAATTCAGATGAATTGAAAACAGTTGGGAGATCTAATGGGAGCCATTGAAAAGGTCACTGCTTAGCCAAATTCCCCAAGACCTAGAAATCATAGGACCCACCGCTGGTCTAGCTGGCACAGACTACGGGCTGCAGGTACTGGACAGGCTGCCAGGGGGCAGCAGAACTTCACACTTCATGGCATGCCAGTGGCTCTCCTTAGGACTAAAGCAGCACCATGTGCACCTGCAGCAGGAAGTGTGTGCTTAACCAACCTCACTCCATATTGTATGGGAATGCCAAGCAGATGGGCGGAAAGTGCACCTGTCTCGATGGGCTCATTTGGTCCACTCGGGAGTAACAAAGGGAAGCTTTCTGAAGATGCAGAAGAAACAACCTGAGGCTGGAGCCATCTGCTCTGAGAACCCAGAAGACAGCAAAGACTACCTCTAAGAGATGCCAGGCAGCTGTCACTGACAGGGAAGCTTAAATACAAACTGTGAGTCATGCCACCAAAGAAGGGAGAAGAGCCTGGGACCTGGATTCCTAAAGCCCACCCCCTGAAAGCACCCCTTTTGAAGAAAGCAAGGGTTCATTTCTCAGCTGCTGACTTGGACTGGACCAATTAGCCTGAAGAAGAGGCCTCTCTTTCCCTTTAAATATCATGGCCATAAACTATGCCAAGACACATATTTACACACTAGTTCATGATAGAATGTTATTCTCAGTAAAACTGTATAATGGTGGTGCACAAATTATTTATAGTAAAAAGAAAAAAGGAAAAATCTAATGGAATGCACATGCACTAGGAAACAAAGAGACAAGAAGGGCGTATGGAAACCAGTGGTTCCGAACAGTTAGTGATGATCAATGATCCAAATCTGCCTAATACCTCGTTTTCTTTGCTTAATACAGAAAGTGTAAACCATGAAACAATTTTTTTAGCAGTTGTTTATTTTTAGAGATAGAAAGACAGAGAAATAGAGAGATGCATCTTTTCTGTTTGCTGTTTCACAGCCTAAATTCCTTTAACAGCTGGTGCTGGACTAGGCTCAAGTCAGGAATCAGCAGCACCATTGGGGACTCACAAGCAGGTGGCAGCAGGAAGTCAGATAGTAACTGAAGGTGGGACTTGATCCCAGGCACCAGGACATGAGGTGCAGGCATCCCAAGCAGCTGTTTAATATGTACACCACAATGCCCACCCACCACGAGACCAACTATCATTACTAATAAAATGCTAAGGACAATGCAGAGATTGGGAAAGGGAAGGTACAGTCAGTGAATCAACAACTTGACAAATAATTTCAGAGGATGAGAACCTCTTGGGATGAAAATGAAGCAGAATAATGGCACAGAACATGTCTGGGATGCACCGCTACTATACCAGGAGGTCAAGCCAGTCAGCCAAGGCTTTAGTCAGGAGAAAGCACTATTCATTTCTATAGTTTACTGAGGTTTCAGCCCCAGAGGAACTCCTAGTACATTTAAAGGAGAATGCAGCAAAACAACCACTTGGAAGTAGAGTGGTGAGCGTTAAGTACCGTGATAGAAGGAAGCACCACCACTCCTCTGGGGACAGAAACAGGAAATGGAACTCAACATAAAGAACAGGGCAGAAGCGATGGGCTGCAATTGAAGGCCAACCAGCATTTAATCATCAGGAAGGGGAAAAGGGTGGCAGCAGCGTGCAACTCTTGATGACTGAGTGATGATAATGACTCTTAAGGGCTTTTTTTTTTAAAAAAGCTAAATAAGTGTGCCAGCATGAACTCAAGGCCAAGCTTAAACCAAAGAACATTCTCATTGAAGGATCTTATAAACACTACTTATCACGGAACTAAATCCATAAAACAAAATGAAAAATGATCCCAGCTAGGATTTGTTTGATTGTTTCCTCCTTCTTGCCCTGGCCAAATATCATCATCAACCTTGAAGTATAATTTTTCAGCACT